TAAATCAACAAAAAAAACAAGAACACTTAAAAAAATATATTGCGGCCAAAAGATTTTTATTCGAGCGCTCGTCTGTCAAAGTGTGGATAATGAATTCAGTGTTATAAATCTTCCGCATTTGTATACATCGGATTAAGTATCATTCTGGACAACATATTTTTTATTAATGCTTCGGCTTTATCAAGACTGTTTATATATGCGTACACATATTCACACACACAGATATCACATATCCTGGATTTAATCAATTGCTGGAAGCTAATTAATAGCTTATTGGAAAATGTAATATTCTATCGATCAGTAAATATTATGAATAATTTATATGTTTATCAAGAATGCACAAGTTCTAGCTCAATTATCGTTCAAACCGTCCTACAAAATGTTTATTTATTAATATTATCAATATATAGTTTGACTTTTTTGGATAATTAATATTGTTTACAATTCGAGTTCTTAACTTCACGAAGGAGAAGTTTGTTTCCGCAAAAAAACAAATAGTTAATTTTGTGTTTTCTCGACACAAAAGTTTCAAGTCATTCTGAATCGAATGAGACCAAATATGGAAAACAGTATATGTATGTGAGTGTATGTGAGCCAATTTTTGACCAAACGGTCAAACTTCACTTTGTCCACTTTTTTTTTAAAGACGAATAGTAATTAAACTATTTATTTAAACAAAAAAGCAAACAAACAATGAAAAAATTCAAACAACTGTACTGGCTAATTGGCAGAAACTCGAAAATGTCACATGCAAACAAGACTTTAATATACAAAACCGTACTAGTACCAATATGGAGCTACGGAATAGAATTATGGGGATGTGCAAGTGCATCAAACATGAAAATTATACAGCGTACCCAGAACAAAATATTAAGGGCAATGGTAGATGCGCCTTGTTACGTAACTAATGAGACCATCCACAGAGACCTGGAAATTAAAACTGTAAATGAAATTATAAAGACCCGGAGCTGTTCTTATCACAACAAAATCGATGATCATTCGAACGCTGAAATACAAATCATCAACAAAATGGTTCAAACAAGAAGACTCAAGAAGAAATGGCCAAAGGACCTGCAATATTAAATTATATACAGATATTGAATAATTCTAGCAGAGGATCTCTTCAATGGAGGAGACCTCTAAACGCCAATTATAATTTATCACACAGGCTAATAGAAACTTTGTCTTCTGATTGTCTATTAAATAATAAATGAAAAAAAAAAATCATAATTGCGTCGTGCGCTTAGATTATGCTAATCAAAATCCTTACCGAGCATATGTACTGTGTTCTGTATGTAGCAACTGATAACCGTTGACGTCTGTACTTTGATAATAAAATATTTTTAGAAACTGAAATGGATTAAATGATAACAACAATTATTTTTAATATGTTAATATTAATATATTAATAATATGTTAAAAAATTCATTTTAATATGTACAACTTCAGATATTATAAATCTGTTTGAAAGATATAAATTGGATTTCGTTTTGGAAATTAGATTTTTGAAGTAACATATATAGCTGAATATATGTTACTATGGATACGTATCGAGAAGTTAATACAGTTTGCTTAAGACAAAATGCTACTTTCAACTAAGTGTTTTTTTTTTCAAAAAAAAAATCAATATATCATATAATTTTCAATATATATTTAAATTTTATAATAATTTGACGTTTCTGGGATTTGAAATTTGTCCTTCTTTAAGAACTATCAAAACAAACAGAAAAAATACCTAAAAATATTATACACTTAAAATTAAATCTTAATATTAAAAAAAAATTCTTTTTACTTCTGAAAGATTGATACATGGTAACATTATACATAAAACCATCCTCATTTCATTGTATATAATATGTATATTGAAATGTTATGAGGTTGGATCATGTATAATGTTACCACGTATTAACTATTCTTAATTAATATAGTTAGATAAATCCGCGTAATTAATTCAATATAAATGCCACAGTGTGAACTCAATATATTATTTCCAACTAATGACATTTATGCCATAATTAAATTTTCTTGTTACACATATAATATGAATTATCATGTCGATCAGGACTGGATTTAACTAAAAAATTAAAAAACCTTTGATTTTAGGCTTCTATTTATAATTTCAGATATATAATTTCTTAGTTACACATGATCCTAAGATTTAAATATATTAGCATTTATTTATTTAGAACTACTTATTAAATTGATGTATGCTCATTAAGTTTGATTTTCTACATTTTTATTTGCTTTTAGTTATAATCAATATTATATTTCATCTTATAGTACATTAGCAACAAATTTATTCCACTTACCTTAAAATTCACCTTCTGTCATAACAATCCTCGTGTACTTTTTCTATTTTAAATGGTATATTTATCAATATAATTTATTAAATTTATGTTCAATATTCTAAAATTATGCCAATATAATATTTAGAATCAACAAATGAATTGATGAAAATGAAATGAATAAATTTTGTTTGTACTCTCTCGAATTTACTTTTGTTATTTTTAAATGAGATGTTTCAGACAGTTGCCAAAAATATTTAATTTGAAAAAAAAAATGTATTGCATAATTAACTAATTAAATCAAGAATTTAACTATGTCATCAATAAACACTAATTATATTTGATTTTTAATTTCGTTCACATTTTAAAAAAAAGTTTTTGCGTTCAGCAGCCAAAAAAATTAGAATATGCTCCAATATAATTTTTAAAAACAAACTTTATCTGAGCATAATTATTTAACAATAAATACCATATTGAAATATATTGAACTGGAAATTTATATGAATTTTTTTAAATGAGCTTTATTAAATGTATCTAGATATTCATATAATATGCAATAATTTAATTAATATATTTATTAACCATACTTGTGAATATAATAAAATTTAAATTATAATTTTGAACAGAAGAAAATTTAATTAATTAAAATATAATTGGTTTACATTCTTTTTTCGTATTGTATAACTTTTCTCCATTTGCAACTCGATTCTTTACAAGTTTGCATAATTTTTTTTTAAATTTATTTTTAGACACAAAGGAATGTAATTTTCTGTAACTATATAAAATAGTAATTGGTACTCTTCAAAACTGAGAATAATTCACTTGTATATACTAATTTTATTATTTTGAATCAAAATCAAATGTTTTATTATATTTCATTATGCAATCAAGTTAATTTCAACCCATTAACTCTAAATAAAATGGTAATAATTATTTAAAGAAATAAATTTGAAAATGATCAAAAATTAAATAAAACTAGTTTGTAATGTTGCAATTGGTAGCTAAAAACATTAAAATTATTAACTTTATAAAATTATATAAATTTTATTTTATTCATCGTTTGCTTTATTGTACACCTGACTCGTAACAACTATTTTAAATTTAAAAAAAGTATTTATGAAAATATTTGGAAATTACATTGGATGTATTCATGATTGCAGTAATATTTTATATTTGATAAACATTCGATTTCTATATTTTATAAATACGTCAGTAGATATTTTGTATGCTGTTTTTGACTTAGCAATATTTTTTCTGCATAGTTTAGAAACACGAATAACTTTATTTATGGCATTCTTCACTCATCGAGAATATATGGCTTTGATAGATTTGCATAGGTATTTTTTCGGCGTTACTGTTTAAATGTCACGGAATATATAACACTTACAAATTTTATGAATAGCGTTATTTATGTATAACATTTAATACGAATGACATTTAGGAATATGCAAATGAAATGAAGAATTATTTCTAATATGCTCCGTTACTACTTTAATATATGTGACAATAAGTCTGCGAAGACTTTTGCTCTTATTTCAGTCGCTCAAGGACGACTGTCGTTTTTAACAAAATGAATTATTTATCAATGTGTATCGAAATAAACAAATATTGATGGAATATTTTTTTGTAAATGATATGAATGAAATTTAACTTGATATATGATATTTTTATACGGATAAGAGGCATGGACTCTAAGAAAGGTCGACAAAAACTATCAGGAGGCGAATGGAGAAGATAACATGGACAGATAAGATAGGATAATGAGAAGAATAAGTGAAGAAAGAACTTTACTGAGAACGATTCTGAAAAATAAAGGAAACTGGATTGGACCCATTCTGCAAAACGAGTGCCTCTCAGGGAATGCAATACCGCTAAAAATTTCAATACCGGTATTTCGGTATTTTCTCTTTTAAAACCGGTATTTCGGTATTTCCTCTTTTAAAACCGGTAATACTAGTATTTTTATTATCTTAAAAATGTAAAAAAAATCATAGTTACTCATGCAAGTATAAAATAATAATAAGTATAACCGGTATTCTAGTATACCGGTATACCGGTATGTCGGTATTGCATTATCTAGTGCCTCCTATACGACGTCGTGGAAAATTAAATGGGAAGGCTAAAAAGATTGCAAAGAAGAAGAATATAGATGATTGATGACTTACGCGAGAAGAGAAAATGCAGGGAAGTGAAAACCGAAGCACAAGATCAGGAAGCATGGAAGCAAAATATTGGAAAAGAAAATGCCTAAAAGCGTATTGAATTAAATAGTAATAGTAATGGGATTAATAACAATCTCACATCATGGACCTGCTTTTGAACAGTTTACTATTCATTAATATTATGGTATTTTTAAAGAGAAACAGATTTTTGGTCAAATAATATTTATTGTAACATTTATAAATTTTTAACACAAGCATAAACTATATATATGAAACAGTCGAATCAATAAGTTCTTTATATCATCCGGTTTCAAAATCGATATGGATTTTGAAATCGATGATTTAACATTTTTATAGCATAATATGTATAATATGAGCTCTCACGAGTTAATTTATTCTCGAGTTAGCGTCCGGCGTTCGCCACTCGTTTTACAATTTCTAAATTGATAATTGAGAACCACATAAGAGAACAGGAAGGTATTTTACTAATATCAAGTACTGTCGGGTGTCATCGGGGGCTCTTACCGATGGCAACCGCGAGTACACTACACCGATTTATGAGTTCTATAGAATAAAAGGTCTACATGTAAATTATCTTACATCTAAAATCCATTTATAATGATCATTAAGCAATTACGTTCAGAAAATCGATGAACTTACTTTATATAGTACACTTTAACTTAAATATATTTTATTTTGTCTTTTATCACTCATCGTTACCACACATGCACTCACGTCTGCGAGACACACCGAATCACGTCGTACTAGTTTATTTAATTCCGAGAAGTTTTTTAAACGCTCGTCTATACTCTAAATTAAATATCGTGTATATAATTGGATTTAACGCCGAGTTTATGTATCCCAGCCATGTAATGAAGTTGATTAGTTTTTTCGTCGTACAGCACTTGGGACAAAATGGCAAGATAACATACATTAAAAAGAACGGTAACCAGCAGACGACAAACACTCCCATGATTATTCCGAGCGTCCTGGCTGCTCGCCGTTCTTTTGAAAGAGATATTCGTTGTTTTTCTTCAATAAACTGATACACCGCAGGAGGTTTTTTGACTGGTGCTGGTACACTAAGGAGTACGGGATTTTGTCCTGTGTTCTCGGCCGGGCCTGGGTTGCCCGAAACTCCTTGCACCGGCGAGCACGAGGAGTGTTCGTGGTGTTCGGTCAGCGAATCGCTCCTGGCCGTCGATTCCTGGACACGCTTCTTCTTGTGCTTCTTCTTCTTAACTTTATCATTGTTCTTGCCATCTCCTTGGTCAGGATGCTCGTTGTGATTTGTTTCGCTGCTCACAGAGTCCCGATCCTGTGGTGGCGTTTGTGCACGCTGCCTCGTTGCCATCGTATTCAACTTGGCAGCCCGCGTCCTCTTCCTTAATCGCCTCTTTGTTGCAATATATATCTCTATGTAGACTATAGTCATTATAAATAATGGTATGTAAAATGAACCAAGCGAAGAGTATATCACATAGCCCTGCTGCTGAGTCAGCTCGCATAAAGTATCAGCTGTAAACTCATCAGGCCAGTCGTTCCACCCCAACACTGGAGGAGAACTGATAATCAGTGAAAGACCCCAAACTCCAGCAATCATTAACAAAACGCGCTCTAACGTCCGTTTTTGCGCATAATCTATGGGATCAGTGATCGCCCAATAACGATCCAAAGCAATCGCACACAGATTGAGAATAGACGACGTGCAACACAAAACGTCGCAGGTCAGCCACATTTTGCAAAGATGAATTCCGAACTCCCATCGTCCTAGGATAGAAACCGCCACGTTGAAAGGAAGCACTAATAACGCCACTGTGAGATCGGCCACAGCAAGGGATACTATGAAGAAGTTCTGAACTATGCGAAGTGGCTTGTATGTGAAAACACTTAGAATGACCAGAACATTTCCCACAACGGTCAGCAGTATGATAAGAGAAAGCACTGTAGCTGTTATCGCTGCCTCCCATTCAGGAACTGCCAACACCAGCCCGAGACTGCTGCTGTATTCGCCCCGTATTTCAATGGGACAGGAAGATTCCACCTGGTTCGTGATATTTGCCATGATGTCTTCCTAATTAGCTTTCGCTAATTATTTCTTGTAATATTCAACAAATTTACAAAATTGCAGCTACATTCGGAGCCGATACGTGACGTGAACGTCGCTCCACTGCAAATCTGCAACAAAAGAATATGTTGTTAGTATTGCATGAATACTATATTAGTTTTGTATTTTAACAATTCTTATTGAATTCGTTATGTTAAAAATAGAGAGTATAACCGTGCAACGTCTAGCTTATTCGAATATTGAATAATGCATGTATAGTGTATGTAATTGGACAAAGAATAAAAGAATACAACGCCACTAAAGAGAAACAAAATAACTTGTTACGAAATACTACAAAAATAATAAGTCCAATGAAAGTGCAATAGAGAGGTGATGATATATACAATATAAATATTTATTTTTCAAATTGATATTTTAGAATAAACTGAAATGATTTTTTGATCCAACAGAAGAGAAAGAACAACTGAACTTAAGGTGGGTTGTCTGTTTTTTTCCAGCATGTTACACTTTGAAAATATCATTTAGTAAAAAGTTTGAATTTTTTCTCGTTCTATTATTAATAATGTTTTCCCTTGACGCATACAACTTGAAACCAAAAATAATATATTTTATTTTAGGAACTCTGATATATATGAACTCTCAGCATAAAACCACAAAAGTATTTTTATATAGAATGCGAACTTTCACTCCCTCGTGGCACATGACTTTCAATTTCGGGGATTTTCGTCTAACTTTTGTTTCACACATAAAGAAGTCTTCAAGAAAAATAATTTCATTGAATATAGGCATGATGTTTTTTTTACGACAGAAATTTTGAGAGAACTGCTCGAGATGACAAACTGAAGTCAAGATTATTACGGACGTCGTATTTTTACAGCAGTTAATTGCATATTGAGATAACTCTTAGACTTTTTTTCAATTATTTTTAGATTAACTTCTGTAACATTTCGAGCCATATAAAAATATTTATAAGAAATATCGTAGGTTAAACTCACAGGTTATATTTGGACACACCATAAAACATTTCGTCATTCGCAAATTAATTTGGATCATTGTATTACAATTTATATTCGATATTCGAGTTTGCGATGGATGATGAGCCTCTTCAATCGAGCTTTGAATTTTTATATTAAGATTGTAGTTTCACTGAAATATTTAGTTTTATCGATTTATATAAATTTTTGAAAATTCATAATTTAATAAAAAAAAATCTAGTTTAGTATGATGAATTTGCTACTGGGTAACTTTATTATTGAAAAATTCTGAGTAACAAAATAACACTACAACAAACATATAACAAATATTTAAACTGATTATGAGTAAAATGCACTCGCAAAAACCAAATCATTTTTAGGTTTTTAATTTTTACACAAAATTTTACAATCCAGATTAAACGCGAACTTTTGGTACATTTTTTGAAAATGAGGGATTTTTAATTGAATTTTAAATTTAAAGTTTAACAAAAAGTCTAAATTTTTTGAAAACTTAAGGCAGATGTGTTATTAATTTCTACTGCAGTCATAGAAGTGTTATTCCCGGTTACGGTTCCGAAGTTTAAATGAACAGAATTAATAAAAATTAACCACAATAACCAAAAATGGTCCTAATTTTATCGGTCACAGTTCTAAATTGGACTTTTAAATAACGTGATAGTTTTTTTCTTATTTTTTTCGAGACTGTTAAGGGTCAAATCTATCACCTCGTTTCGGCTCGACGTTAAGTTCTGGGACACCTTGTTAACTTATGGTACGTTGTAGTAATCGCAAAAAAATCCAAAATGAAAATTTGTATATATCTTCATGTTTCAAAAGTTCCTGAACATTTTGGCATACCTTAGATAAAATGGATGTATGTGTGTATGTGCGGATACAATTTTTCGTTGACGATTTCGAGAACACGGATTAACTCGTTTGAATGATTCAAAAAGCATTCAATCCCTACTGATAAAGAGACTTGCTGATTAGTTTTTGGCAAAGGCAGGTCTAGACGTTTCGGAAATACAGGGCAAATAGAGCCAAAAATAGTATTTTACTTTTTGAAATCACGGAGTATCCGATTTGAATGATTCAAAAAACATTTTACTTGTATTGACGATATGAACAACTGGTGATATTTTTGGAAAGGCAGGCCCAGCGCTTTCGTAGATCCAATAAAAAATGTAAAAGATGCTATACACCACTAGAATATATATGTCCTATTGGAATTAAAACTCGGTCATGAAATGAAAAATTGAATTGGCAAATATTGAAGAATTAATACGTCTGAATGCAATAAATAAAAATGTTAAATCATCTATTACCAAAGCGTGTGAATTATGTCAATACATTTATAATTATCACATTTTTAGCATGTGATATTATCATTTGCACGTCTTTTAAATTTAGTGACAACTCATTACTCCGACAAAATAGAAATGATTACATAGAATGAGATTCATTTTTCTCTTGGGTCTGTTGGCAGATTATCTTTCGGGGACGACAGGATATTTATTGGAAATGATACTAATAACAGTTCGAAGACATATTCCTTTTATGCTCGTCCCAATTTTCTCGCAAATCATTCCTTAATATAGCTTCTTCATTGTGTTGTATCTGTTTTCGATTAGTACAGAAGAGAACGTACATTTCAGGAACAGAAGAAATGCGAACGTAACCTGTGCTATATATTTTTCTCCTCGGTTGCGGTTAAATTGATTAGAATTAGATTTATGGAGGTTGGTTTATTAGGAAAACTTACAAGGGGTAATTGATCTTGAACTGGATTAGTTAGATATTAAATAATGATTAGGATTTCATATTCGTTTTACCAGCGATTTTGCGAAAATTACAAGCGTGATTTTTATTTTTATTATTTTTAACTTTTCGTAAGGCAGTTATAGTAATGGACCAAAAATCGAAAATGCAAACTTTTTCATATCTTTACGTTCTGAAGGTTACTGAACATTTTGGTTTACGTGTGTGTTTTGCATGTCCGCATTTTTTGTCTATGTTTTCGGGCGCACGAATCAACCGATTTGAATGGTTCAAAAAACATTCGATTCCTATTGATAGGGAGATGTGTTGATTAGTTTTTGGCAAAGGCAGGTCCAGCCATTTTGAAGAAACAGAGCAAAATGTACAAAAAATGGCAGTTTTTGAGAAAACTAAGCTTCCAATTTGAATAATTCTAAGAACTTTGTACTTGTTTTAATAAAATAATTGCTATTAGAAAAAAAATTTGTTTCGATTTTTTTTTTCAAAAAAACTTTTTTTTGTATATCGAAAATAATTCAGATTTTAATTTTAATTCTGGCTAAAGTTCTAAAGCTCACTTATATACTTTATACAAATAATTTGAACATTGCAATTCAGTTTATATAATTCTTATAAATATTAGATAGTGTTACAGTATTTATAATAATCTACTTGAAAAAATTTAATATTCCTCGAACATTTCGTTACGGTATGGGAAGTTCCAGCAATTTGCCTTAAGGCACGATGCCATGCACCACTAGATGTTTGTTTAATCCTTCGATCCGTAATCGTAAATAACTTTTCAAGAACCACAGCAAAAAATAATGACACAATTGCCCCGAGTTTTTAAGAATTAAGACTTTTTGTTGAACTATGAATTTAAAATATTGTTATCAAATTATGTCGCATTTAATCAGGATTGTAAAATGGTAAAATACCTATTAGTTTCATAATGAAAACCTTCAGTAAAAAAGTGAAAACCCAAAAATGTCATGATTTTGCTAGTACATTTCACTCACAATTAGTTCAAATGGAAGAAAAATACATTTGAACTGAATGTTAGCGTAATGCTGTCATTTTCAGGTTTTTATTTTTCACTCATTTTTTTGTGATGAAACTATTAAGTATTTTTCCAGATTAAATGCGTCAACTTTTGATGAAACTTGCAAACACACTTTAGTGCATTTTTTTTTAAAAAAGGACTTTTCAAAATTGACCAATTGTTCTTACATGAAAATATATTTTAAGGGTATATTTTCAAGTAAAAACAGATATCACTACTGCTTGATAAAAATCCTCAGGTTGCAAGGCTAAGACTCTTACCAATGGGTGTAACATACTCTCCAAGTCAAATTTTGTAGCCAACAACAATTTTGTTATACAACATACTCGAATGGAATTTCTTATACCTATTTTATTATTATTAAAGACTATTACTACAACAATTTCAATAACATTTTAAATTATTTTTTGTTTATTCTCATATCAAGAAATAATTGATGAACGAACGTGCGAATACAAATAACACATCTCTTTTTCCGTGTTTTGACATATTTTTATCAAATTGGTTTCATTAAAATGGCAAACAGGATTTCGTTGCATCTGTTTGTATCAAAATATTTGAATAATAATGAATGGTGGATGTAATATCATTATTTTAACATTTCATTGAAAAAATATGATGGAATTGCAATTTGCATCGAACAAAAAAGAAACTATGCATGAATTCGTTATTCGACTCTTTCAATAGAATTATCTGTATTTGTTTGATTTATGGAAATGCCGATAAGCAAATTGGTGATAATTTAAATATATCGATAGAAATGAGTCAGATTTAATGGATTTTATATATTGTGACATATGAAAGTTTAGAACAGACATTTACATTTTTTTAAAACGTTTACGTGAAATGCTTGTTTGCGAATCGAATGCATTAGTCGAGATTTCTCAATATTTTTATTAGAAATCAAATGCAACTGTAAATGTCATTTTGAAATATTAGTTATGAACGTTGTCGTAACAATTTTATAATTATTTCTCATTGAAAACTACCAGTCAGCTATTGGCGACTGACCCGATACTTCAAAATACAGGTATATAAAAAATATCTCTTATTGTTAGACTATTAATAAAACTTATATATTATTTTATACCTCAAACGCCTGACTGCACAGTAAATACATAGCATTTTGACAGTTTTTACTACCAAGAAAACAGCGCCAAATTTCGTTGCCATGACAAACTTATGTAATGGTCTATTTCACC